CAGGCACAGGGACGCCTGCCGCAAGGTGCGCCGCCACTCGCTGCGCTGCCCGCCGGCGCGCCGGCGCGGCGGCGGGTGGGGGTTTTTCGCGGGCTCGTTCTGGGGCCGGTACGGGTTGGGGACAGAGCAGAGCCTCTGGCATTGTTGGGGGCGGCCGGGGCGCTGGTTGCGACGAGGCGCGGGCGGCGGGCAAAGCGGGGTAGCATGAGGCTTTTGGATCCACCTGCGCTCTCCAGACATCTGGCGACCTATCCCCCATGTGAAGCGCTGCTTTCTGCAGCAATTTTGACCACTTCTGCCGATTCCAACAGCCTCGCCCGCCCATTTGAGTTGTCAGCCCCAAACACGCCCTGCCCGCCCCCCCGCGGCCGCCGCAGGTGCGCGAGAAGCACCGGGAGGCGCTGGCGGCGCGCGCGGCGGCGGTGCTGCGGCTGTCGGCGCTGGCCGAGTGGAAGCGGCTCAGCGGGGCGCAGTAGGCCCCGCGCTTCGCCTAGCATCGCCCGCCCCGCGGGCCTCGCCCGCGATGCCTGCCTGCATGACTGCCGCCTGGCGCGTTTGGGGTGGCTGTGTAAAGTGTCCGCTCTGTGCAGAACGGTAACAGTTTTTCCCAGCTTGCGCGGCTTGATCCGCGGCGACATGCAAGGCTGAGGGGGATGGGCTTGCGCCCCTTTTGCCCCCCTCCCTCCCCTGCGGTGAGCTGCAGCCGCCCAGGGCGCAGGAGGCGGGAGAGGGTCTGTATAGACGCAGATGTGGCCCGGCAAAATTTACATTCACACAGGACGACGACAGGCCAGAGAAGGGCGCGCGGTGCGACTCGGCGTCGCGCCTCACAGCGCAAACCCAAAAGCAAAGCCGCCCGCGCCTGCCTCCGCGGCCACTGCCGCCTGCCCCTCCCCGCCGCTGCCGCCGCACCGGCCGCCACCAGCGGTGCCCTCTGCCGGCGCCGCCGCCGCCGCTGCCTTGAACAATTCCGCCAGCCGCCCCTCCTCCTCCGCGCGCGCGCGGCGGCGCGCGGCGCGGCGCTCGGCATCTGCTAGCACCTCTGGGCGGTGATGTTTGAGGGCCGCCAAGAAGCGTCTGTGGAGGTCCTCTCTGGGGGTGATTGCGCGAAGGTCGGATTGGATCGGATGAGATTGAATGGGATCAGACGGAAAGGGAGGGGGAGGGGGGGACGGCGCGGAGGGTTCGGAAGGTGGTGGGCCGGGCGTGGCGGCAGGGAGGTTGGAAGGGTCGCTGTCGGCGCGGCGGGGGCGCGCTCGGCCGCCTGCGTCCCCGGGAGGACGCAGTCACGTGGGACGCAGTCACGCCTCGCTGGTGGTGGTTTCACTTACGCCCCCCTTTGCACACGCGCGCGTACACACACACACACACACACACACACACACACACACACACACGCACATACACACACCCACACACACACGCACACACGCACAATGCACACACACACACACGCGCGCGCGCGCACACACACACACACACACACGCGCGCGCGCACGCGCACCTGTGGTCGCAGCCGGACACCAGCCCCGGCACCGCGGTGCCGTCCCTCAGGAACGCCAGCGCCGCGCCCGCCCCCAGGGGCGACACAAAATTCTGGGTCACCGCGACACTGTCCTCCAGATTCACAACCATGTGGTACCTGGCGGGTTTTCGAGGCGTCCGAGGCGTTCGAGTTAATTTTTGAGGCTTTCGAGGATAAGAGTAGTGTGCGTCAAGAATGTCTTGGGGAATTGCGTGAGTGAGAGACGCATGAAGGCGGGTGCGTGGTGCGGTCAAACCCGTCGGTGCGCAGGTGGGTGGGAGGCGCGCGCGTGCGCAGTTGTGTGTGTTCGGAGGCCTTTGGGGGCCGGTGAGTGAGGGGCGGCTGCCAGGCGGGTGGGGGTGGCCGCCTGTGGGGGAGTGCGAGGGTGCGAGGGGGAAGGGTACACGGGCTAGGGGAGCAGGAGGAGGGCGCTGACTCTGAGGGGAGGGGGACGATCGCCGCCGCGTCTCGACCCCAGACCCCACGCAGCCGCGCGTGCGCCGATGCCCGGCCTGGGCCGAGGGCCCCGCGTACAGCCGCCCACCATCCGCGCGGCACAAACAGCAGCTCCCCCGCGCGCACGATGCACTCCAGGGGCCGCACGCGCCGCTTCCGCGCTGCGCCCGCGCCCGGCACCCCGGCGCCGCCCCGGCC